CCCCCCCAGCCGGATTTCAGCTCCAGCTGCTCCCACGGTGGTTTAGGGCGTCTAAACAACAGTACAAAGTTGTTGTAATACGTCAAGGAGAGACCTAGCCGTCATTTTCCTGTTGGGTTCGTCCCTCGGTGCAGAAATAATCCTAACATTTCACGAGTGTCCATCTTCATGGGTGGTTCTTACCGTGCGGGGCCCAGTGCGGCGCTGGGAGGAGGGGGCGGGAGAGCTCCGTTTCCCCGGGCGCCCCTTGGGGTTGCTGGGAGGGACGGCCGCAAGCTGCCCGAGAGCAGGTTTAGGTTAGGCATCATGGAAACCTTTGTGGTCTGCAAAGGGCTTCCAAGGGCGGTGGTGCTCCCCCCGGCCCTGGGCGTTTTGCCTGGCTGGCATCGTCCCCCTACGCGGGGCGGCGGGGCGGACTCGACCTACTGAGGTCCTTTCTGTGGAGGAGCGAGGGGCACGACGGCTGCATCGGCGCTGAGCGCTGGAGGCTGCGAGGGGGAGAGGAGCAGGGGAAAGCAAGCCCTGCTGGGACCCAGGCAGACGAGGTTATTTTGCTTAGACGCGATGTCTTTTAATCAGAGCAACTCAATCGTTGGGAAAATTGTTCTTTATGCCCGAAACACCCTTCATATGCCCAACAGCTTGCAGAGAATAATTTTTCCAGCTAATAAAAGATACCGTGTTTACCCAGCGAGCCGTGTCTGCCTGTGTCTTTAGACCCGCACGGCTACAGCCGGCAGCCCTTGCTCAGACCCAGGTCGCTCTCGCTTCCAGCGTCTCGCGTGGGTCGCGCAGGCAAGATGGACCTGGTGTGACCCAGTAAATGGGAATTCCCATGTTCAGGCAGCTGTGTCCCCTTCCCTGCCAGCCATGACAGCCTGTGGGGGTGTGGGAAGTCATGGGGGTTCATTCCGCCCGGGGTAGACGCCCCTGTTTTTAGGGCCCATAGAAGGTAGAGGCTGAAGAAATCCGACAGCGAGAGAGCGCAAGTAGGCCCCGGGGCAGTTCAGTTCAGTGACCCCCTTGGTGTTGCCAGCTGCCAACTAACCTGTCGTCTTCTTTTGCAGTGGTTGATATCACAACAAGTATCCTTTTCCAGCTGCCTGGTCAATAGCTAACACTCAGGATCTTCATCAGGATTTTAATGCAGAAAGCTTTTGCTAGGAAAACAGGCGGTGCTGGTTCTGATGGGCCCCGGCTACACTGTCAAAGCTGGGTACAAACCAGCACCTCTTCAAGCACTAGCTTTGTAGCTGGTTGGCTCTTTTTATAGCTGGAGAGTCATTTTTATCATGTGATGATTACTTTGGATGTGTGGCTTGCCTGGATTTATTGCATGATTTACGAGTTAATTGTGTAATATATGTAACGTGTAGCAGGGGCCTGGTAGATCTTGCAGGGAGCTTTGCCTAGTTCCTTATGTGTGGTCTGCTCCCTCAGCCTTCTTGTAATTCATGTTGGCGTTCGGAGCAGGCCGTGGCAGGGTGGTGTTTTGTGGTCGCAAAGTCTGATAATGACTTAACTCCGAGGCTGCTAGATTCCACAGTTTGAGGATGTCAAATTTGAAGCAGCGAGCCTCCTGTCTGAACTGTATTGTCAAGAGGTAAGCATGTTAAGGCAGGTTCTAAACCATGTTTGTTGACTGTAAGTGGATTAACTCCAGAGCCAAATAGTTGTTTGCAGTGGCGCCGTACCTCCTTTTATACCGGAATATATGTGTAAGCCTCAGTAACGATATCTAGAGAACACTGAGCATGGTCACATTTTAAGCACGCTGAACTTCACATGTAATAATATGGGATAAAATTCCCAAAGTGCTTCATTCTGTTAGGCCGTGCTAGTCCTAAGAGTTAGTAAGGCCGTTCTGTGACAAAGTAAGTTTATTTCCTCCTTATTCCATTAGCAGCAGTGGGGACAAGGGCAGGCCAACTGTTTTGGTGTTTCTTGGGAAGCTTATGTTGTATGCCTTTATTATTCTGTGTAAAACTTCCTGAATGGCATGGAGTTTGTTCTGCACCAAAGCAATTTGCACCATGTAGTATGTGTGTTTCTGCATACATAAAGTATAATGAATGCAGTGAATAACTTCTACACTTCTAGAGGGCTGAAGAATGTGTTCACTCATGTTGAATACTTGTTTTCGGTGTTCTTTTATTGTTTTAAGGGTCTTGGCACATTTAATCCCCCCACACATTTAATCCCCAACCAATGGGGACTCCTTGCCTTTGTTACTGAAAGTTTTTTAAACAGTTTGTTTTTAGCGTTAACCATAACTTAATATTTCTGTTTCAGAATTCAGTCGATGCAGCAAAGCCTCTGTTACGTAAAGCCATCCAGATTTCACAGCAGACCCCTTATTGGCACTGTAGACTACTTTTTCAGCTTGCAGTAAGTATTGTACAAGGCTTACAGAGCTTCATGAAGGACCATGAAGATGTTCAGAGGGATAATGTGGCTGTAAAATTTCTAGTTTGTTTTTTTTCCAAAAAATATGGGGATGTGTTAAGTGGTGCAAGGAAGGGCTCAAATGTGCTGTGGTTCTGTGGCTGGAATCGATGCAGTAGTGCGGTGAAACTGATATGTTTTGTTAGGGATTATTTGACAACATTCTTGGGATTGGGAGGTGTGCTTCATGTTTTGCTGTCCTTGCTTCTTCTGTCCCATCTCTTCAGTGCATGCTACTTAGCATTTCATTTTGATATGCTATAAGGTGCATCTTGTCTTCACTATCCAAAGAGTTAATGGACAAGGCAAGGAGTGAGAGGCAGGTTAGAGTGCGTTTGTCAACAGTATCTTTCTGGCATGTGCCTTTTCTCTGCAGTCTGCCAGAAACAGTCAGACAAGGATTATTGAGGGAATTAGTTTTTCTTTTGAGGTACTTTCCTTCAAAGTAAGCTTGACAAACTTATCTTTTTGATGGATGGTTTACACTCATTTCTATTCCTTTTCCAACCCAGCCTGCAAAAGCTTAACTAAATGGGGCAAATTTCCTGAACTGAAGTTGTTATACTCCTTTGTATTTTTGAGAGCTGTAGTTTTTCTACTAATTAAGGGAAAATGCTTACTTTAAATGAGTAATGCCTGCGTACTTACAAAACCTAACCGCCTCGCAGAGCCTCTGCATAATATTCTTCCTAGAAGCCCAAAAATGGTGTATATTTTAGGTGGATTGCTTACTTGTGGTTTTTGTTTAACCAAAGAGCCTGCTCCCTTTATGGATTGGTTTTTCAACTAGAATTTGAGGGAAGTTGCAGAAACTAAGGGTGCCTGATGAAAAACTCTATACCTCTTCTCTTCATCCCTGGGGTGCTTGCAGACTTCACTTCCCAGGCCATCCCATGGAACTGCTCCATTCTTCTTTTTTTTTTTAACTGCATTTTGGTTCAGATTAGATGAGGACCAGCTCTACTTTATTACAACAACCTCTGATTTTAATTTATGTTTATCATCCATGTGAGAGATTTCCTTTGAAATTTTGAAGAGCTTGAATAATCAGCAAGAAAAGATTCCAGAGGAAAAGGGTCTTTATGTTCGTGAGATATGTAAAGAGGTCTTGTACACAGTCCCGTTGCTTAATCACTCAACATTCAGTTATTGCAACAGGAGTAACTGCATCAAAAATCTGAAAATTATTGGCGGCTTTGTCCATAAAAAGTGCTGTGTGGAAAATGTTAGTGAGTTTTCTCTCTCTCTCCTTCTTTAGCAACTACATACACTCGAGAAAGATTTGGTATCTGCCTGTGACCTGCTAGGAGTGGGAGCAGAGTATGCCCGGGTAGTAGGATCAGAATATACCAGGTACATGTTCCCTTCACTTCATGCCCAGAAAAATATTTTTTGCTTGTTCAAGCTTATACAGAGGTTCAGGTGATATGTAAATCCTGTGCTGTCAGACCAGTACTTCATGGGAATTCTTTGTTCTGACTGTGGATTCCATCTGAAGCAGGTGTTTGCTTTCTCTTACAACCAGCAATGTGTGCAAAGGCTTTTGGAGGATATTTCTCAATGTCCTCTTGTTTGACACACTGATCCCCTAAAGTCTCCCTACAGACTGTGGTTCCCCTGTACATGGGAGCCTTCTGCAGCCTCAACTAAAGAGACAGAGATATTAATCCTTGGACAGTGATCAGACTGCTCTTTAAATCTGCTCCCCTTTAGTTGTGCCAGGGTTCTTGTTGCTGCTTTGAAGGGGGCCTCTGAGGAAGAAAGCACCACATATTTCTGCCTGCAGTCTTGTTCAAGTTACATCCATGAAAGTTTGATGGCCTTTCTTCCTCCTGTGCAGTTCTGTAATTATCTTGTATATTTGCCTCTCCTGTCAGAGGGCCTTGGATGTTGTGCAGTGTTGTTGAGATGCTGCCACTGCTGGGGTGGAGGACAACATCCATCCAGTGCATGCAGTGTGGCACAGCAGCACTCCAGCAGATGGGTCACAGTGTGGCATAACAGACTTCTTGATGAGGTCTCATTTGAAAAGACCTTTAGGTGGCCTGCCTGATGCTCAGCATACATTTGAAGTGGGGAGAGCTGAGTTGATTCTGTCAGAATTTTGACCTGTTTGCCAATAATTTCAGTATTATGAGTGGGAGGCTTAGGCCTCCTTGCCTGTTTCTTCTAGCATGTGTTTCTTGCTGTAGCTCTTTTTAGCAGTCCACTACCCTGAATTTTTGCTCTTGCATGTACAGTGTTGTTCCTTCTTAGAAATGTGACAGGGTTTTTTTGTTCTATTTTAGGGCACTGTTTCTGCTCAGTAAAGGGATGGTAAGTTCATTATGTTAAAGTATAACAAGTTACTGTTATTTACTTAGTACATACAGAGCACAGAACAGTGTAAGGCTATTGGTCTTAAAATTAGATGTTTGGTTTGAAAGTCTTTCAAATGCCTACCACTGTGTTAACCAGGTTCTGCTTCATTCTGATAAGGGAGCATGGGGTTGATGCATACCTCAAGTCAGGTTTTAAGGCTGCAGCATTCTTGGCTAGTTGCATCCCCCTTACTTGCTCCCAGCAGCGTAGCACTTGTTGCTTCACGGAGAAAGGATAACCTTACTTGATTATAGTAAGGTTATTCCAGACCTAGGTAATTGATTAGAATCAGCATTGTAGGCCTCTTTTTTTAAATTCAGGATGAGAGCTCCAGTACCATAAATTGGCCAATGCTTTAAAGAAATAAAGTGGGGGGGGGCTTCCTTACAGTAATCCCTTTTTCCCCATAGTGAAGTACCTAAATAAACCAGCTTTCAGGTCCTGAGCACTTAGCACTTTCCCTGTGCTCGTTCAGCACAGAATACCTATCTAATACTTCTCTTTCTTTGGTTTAGCTTCTTCTAATGGAGCGAAAGCTGCAGGAAGTGCACCCACTCCTCACTCTTTGTGGGCAAATAGTTGAAAACTGGCAAGGAAACCCTATCCAGAAAGAATCCTTACGTGTGTTCTTCTTGGTGCTCCAGGTGACGCATTACCTGGATGCTGGGCAGGTGTGTGAGAAGGGCAGTTCTTAGCAATTACAGTTGGGGCATCTGGGAAAGTTTCCTGGCTTAAAGCCTGCTAACTTGTAGGCCCCATCACTATATCTTGCATTTTGTTGGAAATAATGTTGAAAATGTACAGAAGAGTCAAGCAGATGAAAAGGCTTAAGGGTTGTTTTGTTTTGTTGGGGTTTTTTTGGCAAGAAACCTAAATTTTTACTTATTGCATGTAGGGCAAATTATG